CAGAGGGGTGGGGTGGAAGGGGGAAGCATGGGGTTAGAAATGATGGTGGAATGTGATGGGCATTATTATTCAAGCACGTATATGAAGACACAAATTTGTGTGAATATACTTTGTATACCACCAGAGATATGAAAAATTTTGCTCTACAAGTGTAAGAAGAATTGTACTGCATTCTTCTGTCATATATAAATAAAAAGTTAATAAAAAACCTTTCAACTGCTTTATAAGTAAACTCAAGAGAAAAAAATCAATAGAAAGTGATATCTTCTCAGTGAGGGCTTTCATGATGACTTACTCGACCCACATTTAACCCTCCTTATACAGATCCCTGCTGTGTGGGAAGCCATCTGTTAAATACATAAGGATCTTCTCTCAGCATGAAGCCAGGGAGATTTAGGTTTGGCCTTAGGAACTATTTGTGGCTCTCCCACTCCAATAGACAGCCCAATGCATACAATCTTTATCTATGCTCTGCTAGAAAGATCCTCATAGTAGCTCTGGAGATGGGTGTAACCCATTAGGAACTGAAAGCCCACTATTAACCTTTTTTGGTGAAGACCACTCTAAAGCAGGTGCAGGCTTAATTTTGCCATTAATTTTGCCCCCGCTTTTAAAACTGCTTTCTGGGTTCTGTGTTTTTTTGCCATTCTATTTTTCTTAGTGTTTATTTCTCAGCCAGCCCATTCCACCGAGGGAAACCCCATTTCTTCTGCTGATGTAGGATGTGGACGAGACTGCTGCATTTTCCATGGCACATGTCACCATCTGGTATACCATAAGTGTGACTTATTCCTTTACTTATTGTCTGAATCTATCCATTAGAATGCAAATTGCATGAGGACAGAACTTTTGTTTTGTTCACAGTCCTATTTCCAGAACTTATGGCAATGCTTGCCACATGCAGTGCAATTGCAAAATAGCTAATCTCATTTAATATTCAAAATTTCAAATTATTAAAATTGCTTTCTGTACCTGTGATAAGATCTTCTGTATTATTTTCCAATAAGAGTGGGGGCAAGGTAGATCTCTATCTTCTGCCTTATTTGGCTAACCAAATTCCTTCATTGCTATTGGGCTGTAAGAGAGACCAGAGAGTTTGGGCAGAAGTGTGTGTGGGTGTGGGGAGCATTGCCTAGTTGACTATTGTCATATTAAGATAACTTGAAGAACTCTGAGCCAAGCAGATAAATGAAATAGACTCCCACACAGGCCTGTGGATTATTCAGAAACTCCTGGGAACCTTCAACTGTACTTTCTACTTTATCAGTGATATATTTTCCTCTAGGTGCATATTTATCCCTCTTCCCTTCTTGCACTGCTTAGCTTACTCTAAACTCACTGTCACTCATTCAGTTAATCCTCTAGAAATAATTAAAAATATCTGTAGGGTAGATCTATTAGTTCCAACTTAGCCTAACTCCAGTCCACTGGAAATCAATGTCCTTTGCATAGTACAGTTCAATTTTGTCCTTGGGTCAAGGTCTTTTCATTCCACCACTGAAGCTACTAACCAGCCCATCTTTCATCCTCTAGATTTCTCAGACTACAGTAAGTTACCAGGTTCTCTAAATCATTCTATTGGAGTTTCTTGAATTGGACTTGAGAAGAATGTTGATTGATGGTGGGAAGAGGAGTAGAGTTGTGTAAACATGGTGCATCTTTGTCCAAAAATGTTTTATGCACAATCCTTCCTAAATGTCCTAAATGTCAACAATTATACTCATTTATATATTAGAGGTAGGTGAGGTACTTAAAAGTTGTATAAAACAGTTTTTGGCTGCATATTTTTGAAATAATCATGGAAAGGCTTATGTCATGGTCAATCTGAATTGTCAATTTGATTGGATTATGAGATGCCTGAAATCAAGGGGCTTCTGAGCATATCAATGAGGGTGTTTCTGGGAATGATTGTCATGTGGAACAGCCAACCAAGGTGGAAACCCAGCCTAAGTTTGGGCAGCACAGTCCAATAGGTTGAGGTCTGGATGGGACAAAAGTTGAAATAACAAGGAAGCAGCAGCAAGGTGCAAGCTTGATTATTCTTAAGTGGGGGCTTCAATTGCTACTTCGATCACCTGAGAACATCAAACCCCAGTTGCTTCACTCTTTCAAAGCATACTCTGACCATTGACTCTCCAAGTAGTTTACAAGTCTTTGGTTCCAGATTGGGGCTGCATCATTGATACCTCTTGTTCTAAGATTATGGCTTCTTAAACTGAGCAGTTAGTGGTTCCTCCAGCTCTTCAGCATGCAGACAACCATTGTGGGACTATCCAGCTTCTGTTTTTTTTTTTTCTTAAGCCAATCTAATAAATATCCTTTTTTATAATCATAGCTATCTATATATAAAATCCTCTCTCTCTCTCTCTCTCTCTCTCTCTCTCTCTCTCTCTCTCTCCTGTTGGTTCTATTCTTCTGGAGAACCATGACTACTAATACAGTGTATCTCACAATTTACTTTGGTTTCTGATGATTATTACACTGTATCTTAATGATGCTAATGAAGCTTACATAATTGCATCCTTATGCTTTTATATGCTTAGGTTTATAGCTCTCTGCTCTGTATAGTTTTCTTTCTATATGTACACATACTTTGGTTTTTTATGGCTGTGCGATAAACTCCATACTATTTCCATGAAATAGAAATAACTTAGTATCGCTCATAGTAGGGGGGATTGACTGACTCCAACTAGGCACTTTCTCTCAGGAGGTCTCATGTGGGACCTGGGACTGAAGTCATTGAAAATCTTCCTCACTTACATGTCTGGTGGCTGGACTAGAAAGATTCAATAGCCTGAGGGTGGAACAGCTGAAGGCTGAAATAACTGCAGCTCCTGGAACACATTCCTCTACGTTTATATGATCTCTCCACAGGGTCTGCACAGCATGCAGGCTTCAAGGGAGATGTACTTCTTTCATGGCAACTCAGAGCTCCCAAGGCAAATGTCTCAAGAGATGCCAAAAGATAGAATTTTATTATCTTTTATGACCTAATCTCTAAAACTATACAGGGTTATTTCTGCTATATTCTATGATCCCTAAACTGAAACAGTTTCAAAAAGAGAGAACACGGCTTCCAACCTTTGTTTATTGGAGTTTGTATTAGTCAGGGTTCTTCAAAGACACAGGAATATATATACATACATACATACATACATATGTGTGTGTGTTTGTGTATTATGAAGTGGGCTGGGTATGTTGCTCAGTTGATAGAGTACTTGCATTACATGCACAAGGCCCTGGGTTCAATCCCCAGCACCACTACCTAAAAAATAAAAAATGTATGTATGAAAAGTTCCCAGTTGAGGTCAGTCAATCCCAGAACCCTAACAGATAAATACTTTATATCATATATATTTTGTTACACACACACACACACACACACACACACACATGCATGCATACTTACTGGCTCACACCATAATGGATACTGACAAATTTCAAGAATAGTTGTTGGCAAGCTAGAGACACTAGAGAGATAATGTTATAATCCCCAGTTTGGGTCTGAAGACCAGAAAACCAGAAGAACCAATAGTGATGTGTAAGGAAAATAAAAGGAGACACAAAGACAAGATGCAGAGGCAGGAAAAGTGGTAGAATGGCAGAATGGCCAAGCTGCCAGTTTTATTTATATCCATAGGTTACTTAAGGTCATTGACATCATTAGTACATATTGTTCATTGTGTTACTAGGCAAGTTGCAGACTTAGCAACATTATGCAGCTTATTCCTCAGTTACATTTTCAATTGCAATGTGCAATGTTAGGAGTTTACTGTAGCTCTCAAGAAAGTCCATTATATAAAGTTACTGTTATGTGAAGAGATTTAGGTTCAGTGAAACATTGTGGTTGTCTAACAGGAGAGTTCCTTTATTCCCAGGAGCTGTGTGCCTGAGATCAAGGTTGAAGCTGATAAGAATCTAGCAGCATTGCCACAGCAGCTAAACATAGCACATATATTAGTTATCTTACTAGTTCCTGGGAGAAACTTCGGGGCATTCTATGGTGGGAAACAGAGTTTCAGTTACCCTCTAGGAGTTTGCTCACCAGAGGAATGCTTCCCTGTATATGGTCAGAATCCCTACAGTGATGTTTCAGTCTCAATGTGGCAGTCAAGAGCCAAAGGCAAGAAAAGACTGATATCCCAGCTGAAAGCAGTCAGGCTGTAGGAGCTCCCTTTTGTTCAACTTTTTTGATCTCTTCAGTTCCTCAATTGATTGTATGAGGCCTGCCCTTATTAGGTGAGACAATCTGATTTAACCTATTTGAATATTAATTTTTTCCAAACACTCTCACAGACACATCCAGAAAAATGTGTGAACTTGCCTTGTCTTTTTTTTTTAAGAAGAATTTTAAAAATACATATGTTCACAGTATAAATAAAAGAGTATAGTTCAATTTTCAAATCTAATCTCTTTTCCACATAAAAATGAAGACACATTTTTAGGAACAGCAGAGAACACATATTTGCCACAGTGGTACCTAAATTCCCATAGTTTATCCTATTTCTATGTCATAAGTTGATCCCCTTTCTTGTGCCAGATGATTTCTTTATCCTTGTTCTAAAACTTTTGTGAATAGTGCCTCAAATCCTAATCAGATCTGTTCACAGTTGATCAGTATTCGGACTTTTAACTTGAAGCCTTCACCAGTTACCTTTCGACAGCTCTCACAAGCCTACTTGTCATTTGCATTTTATGAATATTTGCAACCCTGGAACTTAATGGAAGCTTGCTGCTGTTACCAAGTACTGAAAAATGCCCATAGCAGTCTCCACTTGCCTGCAACTGTTGTTCTCTCCTCTAATGGTTGAGAAAATGAGCTTGGAATCACACAGGGTTGGCTTCAAACACTAGCTCTGCCACTTATAATTTGCATCACGTTGAAAAATAAAATTAATCACTTTGAGCTTTAGTTTTCTCACCTAAAAAAATGTACCAGTTAAGATCCTGCAAATTTGTTGTGACAATGAAATAAGATGATGAATTTTACACATTTAATACCCTGCTTATAACAGGGTAAAATCTCAAGTACTATCAAAAGTTTTTTTTTTTTTTTAACGTTTGATGATTGTTGTTGTTACTTACATTTTTGTTGTACCAGCTCTGGAAGGGTATTTACATAGACCACTTTAACTTTGGCAAGAACTGAATGGCTTCTAGCCAGCAGGCTCACTAAGCTCCACAGCGCACTCGACTCTTTTGAGACTCCCTGGCATACGTAAGATCTGCAAGCAACTCCGTGGCCTGTAAGACAGGCCAAAAGTTTTCTTTTTAATAATTGTTTGTTTACCCAATAGGAAAAAAAAAGATAAAGAAAATAACATTAACCCAATTATATTAACCATAGAACCAAATATATGTCTGTCACACTATTAGAAAGTTTACAGTTGTTAAATTAAGCCATTTGAGTCTCAGTCTCCTTATCTCTAAAATGGACATAAGAGTAATACAAACCTTATAGTATTGCTGTAAGAATAAAATGATATAATGTGTTTTAAAGTGCAGTGCTGGAGCAAATAATTACTGTGGCCTGTGAGATATCATTAAGACAGAGTATTTTATTTTAAACCCAAGTATATATAGTTGCTGCATATTTTTTACAAGATTTCCTTATGCTTTGGGAGAATTACAAAGAAGTGAAGCTCATTTGTTTAGTTTGAGTTTGAAGAACTAATTAGAAAAGGAGGTGAGTTGTTATAAGTCATACATCTCTGACTCAAAACAAGTTGGCCTTTTGCTCTTTTCAATGCACGGCGTTCTCCCATACATGCATCTATTGGGTAATTATCCACAAGTTTTAAATGAATCTTGCACCAGTTACTGGAGACTGGAAGTTCAACAATCTTTTAATCTCGGAACACTTTTACGGTTTTAAAAATTATTGAGCACATAGCATTCAGATCTTGGTTTCTAATATCATTCTGCAAAAAGAGAACCAGGCCTTCTTGGAAAAATGACTGATTTTAGTACCAGGTAGGATTGAAGTAGCATGCCAGAAAGTGAGGAAGTGCTTCTCTTCTCCTCCAAAAATGCCATACCTCACATCAATGGAAGTATGTCAGAGGCATACAAAAGCCAACTAAAAGATTGCTAAATGGCCAAATTTATTGAAATTGAAACAATTTGAGCATCAACATAAGCAATCTAGTAAGGAGCTATAACCTAGCACACAAAATAAATATCCATGAGTCATGCAGATATGAATAAACAGATAGATTGACAAAGGCAAACAGATAAATTTGCTATGCATAAAGAAGAATTCCAAATAGTTTATATAGATTTTCCATCTTCAAGGAGGGGAAATTCTCAAATCGGACTATATATATTGACTTTCTTCCATACAGTGCTGTATTAAAAATGGGATGAGATGGGGAGAGTAACTTTACATTGGAAAATTCTCCCTTGGTCTGGAGATTAAAGTTAACACAAAAGATAGAAAAAGCTGTGAATGTTAAATCTTGGGATAAAGTTTGGTTGATTATCATGTGATTATTATTTTATAGATTGCTGAATATGATGTATGAAAAAAATTTTTTTAGTTTTTTGCGGCATTAATAGAAATACTGCAATGATCATTATCATGTATAAATCTACATATGAAGATGCTGTTATTTCTGGTGAATAGTTTTCTAAAAAAGGTGAAACTTTTGAATTTCAACATATTTGTAAGATTGCCTTTCCAAAAGTTTGTAAAATTTAATTCTTTTCTCACTCTACAAAATATTTTCCTGTAATCTTAACCACAGTGAATGTTATAAACATTTTATTAATATTTATTATTAAGGAAAGTAATTTCAAGAACCTCTAGTTCTTAGAGCTCTTATACAGTTATCAAGTAGAAATCAAAATTACAAATTATATGTAAACTAAAAATTCAGTATAATTAAAATGTTAATTGAATGTGACTGATGATGTTGATATGTTAAAACAAACAGCAGACACTGGAATTAATATTTGAGAAATGTAGCCTAGGTCTTTTTCTACATTTAATCAGTTTTCTTGTTTTTATTTCAATTGGACTAATAAAAACAATGAATGCCTGGTCACATTAGCATGGTTTACAAAATGGCAATTAGCAACTTGAGATTCATTGCTGGTTGATGGTAATCACACTCAACACAACTAAATTCTACCAGTGAGCCAGCCAAAAAAGCAAGGTTTATTATAATGTCACTAAATACCTCTTTAAGGTTCTCCTGTGATAAAAAAAAAAAGTTGCCCTTTGGCTCCACTGAAATCTGAGTATCACTAACTCATGTTTTCTTGGTTATGTGCCTTTATTATCTTATTAACTGAGTTGCATATTTTTTCATTCTTTTTCCCATTCTCACAATAGAATGCAAAATCAAAATTTATTTCTATATCCACACCTCCAACCCTATTCTTGGCCAAGTAAATACTTGAATGAATTAATGCACAATCTAATCATTCCTGAAATCAGGTGCAGAAACTACTTCTTTTCTCATTTATTGCAACTCTTAGAGTAAGAAGTATGTAGACAAATGAGGTTCATTTAATGCATTTTTTAAATGTGGAAAATACTGATAACTTCATTACCTATGTAGCAAATGTTGCTTGGCAAATTCAGTTTTAAAGACAAATGGGGAAGCTAAGATTGCAAAGCAGTGCTCTGTTGTAAGGTGATTACTTAAATTACTGAGGATTAACTGACACATTTTTTGATAATTAAAATGAAGGTAAAAAAAAAAACTCTTCTAGATAACACATATAAGAATTTCCTATAGGTCACTCAGCCCATTTTGGAGACTCTTGCATACAATGCAAGTACATGAACCATATTGTCTTATTGGAGAAAATTATTTTTTCCTCCAGAAAATTTATAGCTCTCATATTCAGAAGTAATTGCTTTCAATGTGTGCATAAAGTTTCTGGGAATAAATCAATTCCAATTAGGGTGGTACAACTCAGATGGAGACTAGGGAACAGAGGTGATACCCCAGAGTTCACAGCTACACATAAAGGTCAGGGTCAACTCAGCCTTTCTTATCTGCTCCTGGGAGTCAAAATCCTAAAGGGAGATTTATAAAGAAAAGAAATAAAAGTAAAGGACTTATGAAGAATATCTATTTTTCTTTTCATAAGTACTTGACCTGTGAAAGTGGTTGAAATGATAAGCTCTTATGAGCAACTGAGGTGGCCCATCTGCTTATCCAGCCACAGAAATACTAGGAAAACAGTAATACAATAAATCATAGGGAATAATTCAAGGGGAGAAAGTAAAGGAGAGAAGAAAGAAGGATTTTGCTTTTGTCAAGAGAAATTTAATTCTTAGTTTCTGATTAGATTGCCTTTACAAAGGAATTTTGGGAGGCATGGAAAACAAATTAATTACACTATTTTGTTTAAGGCTATATCTTTAAGTAATAAGGCCTACCTTTCTCCTCTGCCTCCCACTCCCCAGAATAGACCCATTTGGTAAACACCAATATGCTCTCTTGCTCCCTTTTCTCCTGTCTCTGGCCAATGGGGAGCCCTAGGAATGGGAAGGAAGGAGAAGAGTGAGGCCAGAGAGTCTCTTCCTGGTCTCCAGAGCAGTTCACCTCCCTGAACAGTTCAAGGTGACCTTCTAGTTCTCCTTGTTTTCAAGGTGACCCCCTTACGTCACGCTGCCTTTTCAGATTTAGGGTATTTTTTTTCCCGTTGCTAATATTGGGCTGTGATTATTCCTCACTTGACTTTTTAAATGGAAACTTTGAAAAACATTCCTCAAATTATTTTATTTCAAGGGTGCTCTGTTTCCTTATTGATACATATTCTTTCTTCTGCCATTTACTAACTTCTGTTTCCACCTGCTCACTTCTGCCTCTTCCTCGTCTCTAATTTCTAAGGGAAGACCCCCCAAATTCCTTGTTGCCGAAAGTCTCCCAAGAGGAACTGCCTTAGGTCACCAATTTCTTAGTTTACACTGGGCTCAGAAAGTTTAGGTTTGAATATTTCCAAAGTTGGGAAGCAAAAGCACCTACTGAGAAAGCCCATCTTCTTTTCCTAAAGCATAGCTCAGGGTTGGAGCACTTGCCTAACATGAGTGAGGCCCTGGGTTCCATCCTCAGCACCAAAGGGAAAAAAAAAAACAGAAGTACAAGAGTCCATACTGACATACATAAATAAATAAACTTAAAAAATAAGACAGTACTCAAAGTCATAATGAATAAATGGTAGTCTTTTCTCCCTGGTCACCTGCCAGTCACATTTCTCAGGGACAACCACATTTAACACTTTTAACCGGGCTTTTCTTTTGATTATCTACCTATTTCTATGCATAACTGTAAGCTTATATTGCTACTTTTATCTGTTTTTCATTATCAGTTGACTTCCTATTTTGGTACTTGAGTATTTCTTCCAACTTTCCAACTCATTGTGTTAAATAACTGCTCAGCATTTGTAAAAATATCTTTCATCATTGAACCAATACTACGATTGTTTCCTTTCTCATGTACACCTGTGCTTTTCTTACAGTTCCTAGAATTTTGTGGGGAATTTCATTTCCTTAGATCTATATGTCTATCAGAATATTTTACCAGATAAGTAAAATGGCTACTAATTTTTTTTAACCTTCTAAGTATATCAGATAATATAACAATTCATTTTATATATTGGAAAAAAAATAAAGTATATATTTTATTTTATTATTATTATTTTTTTACTAGGCCAAAGTCTGTTTCTTTCTGGGTCCTACATACTGTATTGGCTTTTAACCTACCCCTTCAAGACTGTAGAGAATATGTACAATGCTTTTTCATGTTTTTATTATAGGAAGAAAATCACCCTTGATGAGAACCTCCTAATCACCATATGCTGCACAGGGACCTTTGTCTCCATTTACCATGGAGCCTAGGGCCATTGTTGTGAAAACACTGGTTAGATGGCAAGTGGGTGGCAGATCATATAGATCTGGTCGCAGTTTCTGTGCCTTGACATCATATGTTCTTTTCCTAAAGCCAAGCTGTTTCTCTTGAAATATCTGAAAATAGTGATCTTACCTTCCACCCATTTTTTTGTCCTACAGTTGCTTAATGATTCCTCGTATAACATCATTCTAATTGCTCTCCCACTTGGTCATGAAATGCTCCCTGTAGTTCATCAACAAAATAATACTGTGCTTATTTTTTGGTGTTCAGAACTGATGGTAGTTCACCCTGACTACCACCTGTTTGTTTTCCATGCTACCCTTGTAGCATTTTGCCTAGAAGTAACTGTTCTTTAAACACATCACACTTTAAATC